TACCTTTATTTCCCCCTCACTCTTCAGCTTTCCACCCCCACACACCTGCAGCCCCTCCCATGCTCTGAAGCCCTGACTGCTACGTCACATTGGCTGTCATATGGGGGCCACCTCAGCAGCATATAAGGATACAGAGCCCACCATTTTCTCCAGGGGAACTGATCTCTGCCATCTGGAAAGCAGTTGTAATTCTGAGTGATCTCCAGCCCTCACCTGGAGATTGGACACATTTTATCTCAGAACAGAAAACTGTTTAGAATGTTAGAGGCAAAAGCCAATCAAGTCGCATATGCAAACGACCTCTGTGTTCCGAGGCAAAGGCCAATGGGGCTGCATATGCAAATAACCTCTGTGTTCTGATTGGCTATGGGGGGAGAGGAACAGTAAACTGTTTAGAATGTTGGAGGCAGGATTCAGGCAAAGCAGCCAGTGGATAGGGAGACCCTCTGAATGACAGATCAGAGAGTGAACTGATTTTGGAGCGTGTGGAATGTTCTAGAGAAGTGCCACCACCATTTGGCTTTTATTTATAAGGGAGATTTGTACCCTGCATCTCAGGATGCATACACCAGAGAAGGAGGAGCACTAACACAACTGCAGGGAAAGGGGTGCAATACACATACCCAATATCATTGTCTTGTTCTGCTCTGAGCATGGCAAACCACTGCTGTTTGTAAACAGAGGACAGCCACTCTAAAATTGAAAAAGATCAAAGTAAGTATTTTATAGAAGGGGCATGAAAGCTAAACAGCAAATCTTAATTTCAACAAATGTTATGTACAACTGTAACAAACAATAAAACAAAGTTGGAGTCCAGTGGCACCTTTATGACCAACGAAGTTTAATTCTGGGTGTAAGCTTGACTCTGGATTTCTGCCCCAAAGCCATTTTGCTAGCATAATCAAAATTAAATGTAAGAGAAGGTTCCATTGTTATACAGACCATGCTGCACAAGTGCGCATACACATTCCCTCCTCCCCTAAGGGTTCAAACAAAACAAAAGACCCTTCTGGCAGCCCTGGGGGAGGGAGTTTGCTATGTTTTGTACCAGTATGACAACAAAAGAAAAGCTTTACAGAAATGTATTTAATTAAGCAAACTAAGATTCATCAATAAGAGAAGGAAGACAAGAATAGGACAAACCAGGGAGAAATCAGGTTTCAGGAAGAACAGGTCAATAATGATGTAGAGGTGGGACTATTTTCAAGAACAATTTAAGGAGGATTACAACAGTGATAAAAAAGGACAGATTAATTCAATACTGTGGATACTACACATTATAGGAACCATTATTACTCAAGAACACACTAGTTCCAAGTAAATTTTTGATCTTTGACTGAAATGGACTAACTACTTAGAAACTACAAAGTTTGAGTCCAGTCACTGTACTCCAAAGACACATAAAAGAAACAGGCGTATAACCTATTCAAGCAAAAACATATTTCATTTATGACAGCTACAGACAGTATACGGGAATTCAAACCCATGCCTTCTGATTCCCAAGTCCAGCATTCTATCCGTACACCCACACTATCACTTGTCTTTATATCTGAAGGTGAGTACTACAGGGAAGTAAGATTCCCAAATGTTCCTAGAAGGGTCTGGAAATCCTGCAATAGAAAAGGTGCCCTTTCACAAAAGCCATAAGAAGAGCCCTGCTGGATCAAACCAGTGGCCCATCTAGCCACCATCCTGTCTCACACAGTGGCCAACCAGTTCTTGTGGATGTCCAACAACTGGGCATTGAGGCAGAGACCCTCCCCTAATGTTGCCTCCCGGCCCTGGGATTCAGAGGCTGACTTCCTCTGAACATGGAGGTTCCCTTTGGTCACCATGGCTGGTAGCCACTGATAGAGCTATCCCTCCATGAATCTATTTCATCTCCTTTTAAAGCTGTGTATGTGGCCATCACTACATCCTCTGGCAGCAAATTACACATTTTAATCACTTGCTGTGTAATGAAGTATTTCCTTTTGTCTGTCCTAATCTACTGCCCATCAGCTTCACTGGATGCACTCACATTCTAGTATTTTGGGAGAATGAGAAAAAGTTATGTTTCTCAACTCTCTCCACCCCATGCATAATTTTATAAACCTATCATGTCTCTCCTTAGTTGTGACTTTTCTAAACTGCAAATCCCAGACTCTTCAGCCTTTTTCCACACCCTAACCTGTCGATTGCCCTCTTCTATACTTTTTCCAGGTCTGCGATGTTCTTTTTAAGATATAGTGACTGGAATTGTATACAGTATTCCAAATGAGGCTGTACCATAGATAGGCGGACAGGGGCATTATAATGTTGGCCATTTTATTTTCAATCCCTTTCCTAATAATCCATAACACAAAGTTTCCCTTTTTCTTTGCTGCAGCACACTGGGTTAACTCTTTCACTGACCTATCTACAACCACCATAACTCTGACGATAATTACCACCACCCAAGCTCAGCCTGACCTGCAACTATTTTTCTCACTGGCAAATGTGATCAGAACAAGACTGGCTAATCCTCTCACTAAGCCTTCTGATCCAGTTCTGACCCCCCCAACTGGTTCAATGTGGAAGCACTCTCTGACTGAGCAAAAAAGGGAGAGCTGCTACTGATCTTGCTGACTCAGCTAAAAGCCTTGCAGTTATACTGGATCCAGCTTTATTACTGGAGAAGCAAGTGAATGCAGCTGCAAAAAACGTTTTCTACCAACTCAGCCTAGCCTGTAAGATGGCCCTTTACCTTGGTATGGCTGACCTGGCCACCTGGATCAATGCCACAGTAACATCAAGACTAGACTACTGTAAGATTACACTACTGTCTATTATCCTATAGAGTCCTACTGCTTAGCATTTCATCTTAATAATAATGCTATGTTTCAGTTCTTTCTGGTGGTTCCAGACTTCTAAAATTCTAATGCATTGGTTACTGAATGCCCCATTTTGTTGATTGTACTGATTCACAATGCATAATGCACCTTGAGTCCCTGTGAGAAAGGCGGACTATAAACAACATAAATAAAATACATTCTTACCTGTTGGTATCAAATTATCTCGCTCGATAATTCTTGCAGATGCCAAATCACTGACTATGTACTGTAGCCTCAAATGTCTGAACACTGTCAAAAATGCACGTCCTTGTTCAGACTCTAAGAATGATACGCCATCCTCTAAATCTGCAATGCGGTAAACAAGAAAGAGTTGAAAAAAACAAGAATTTCATTATGCACATAGTAGGCAAACTGTATGTCATCAATCAGCTGCTCAGTGAGAGAAAGCAGACATTTAATTCTTCATGGAAAACTGACAAATCTCAAAATGCTTTCAATTATAAGGAAAATGAAACACATGATTTACTGTGAAGATTTCTTCTCATCAGTGAACTGTTGGGTAGCCTGGTGAGAGTTATATCACTCACACTTCACAAGCAGAGCTATGGTAATTTGCATAGTACTTCTGTTTGTCGAGAGGAAGATCCCCAATTCATGGCTTGCAACACCACAAAACTGGAACCTAATTTTAACCTTCATTAACTAGAGCAAAGCTCTAATTATAAACAGGTAGAGCAAAAGAATGCAGAAGAGCAGAGAAATTCCAAAAGTAAAAAGTCCCTTAGGAATCAACTATCCCAACAGTCTCAGGCAACAACTTTTCTGTGGGTAAGAATACCAGTTAAGTCTTCTAATGAGAGGGACCCTACCCCAGGAACAGCAGACACATTTGACTTTGACACTGATTCTATATTCCAGCATTTTAGCTACAAGTTTCTCCTAATTACTATGTCTGCAGAAATGGATTATACAGAGAATATGATGGCATACAGTCTGCCCACAAAGACTCCATAGACCTCAGAAATCTTCAGTGGATCTTCCAGAGGATGAAAGTTCTTCAAAAGATAGAGTTTGAGTACAAGCTATTAGAGACAATACTAAGCTCTCTTGTGGTTAGTGTCTAGGTCCCCACATTTTCAAACAACTGCCATTGTCTCTGTGATCCACTGAGGTGAGGGCAGTCATTATGGTGTCTACTAATGACATTATAAGTCAATACTGGGGTTTGTCAAGGAATAAGGGTTTTTTATGTGCTGCTCATTGACCCTGAATGATTTTTTCAAAGACCTCCAGGAAGTGGATGACTAAGATGTAGACTTAGGCTTACAAAAATAGCTTCAGGTTTCACGGGGGCCTGAGAAAGTTTCTTCTGTTGCTTACAGGCTGCTGGAAGGACAGAAGAGGCTTCATTTAACAAAGGTAAAAAAAACACAAATATTGGGAAGAAATAACCTAGGAGCAGGAGGGGATTAGAGACTGGACCTCACCCCCACTGACCACTTCCTTCCTCCCGGTCAGATAAAAAATTCCTGATGATGGAAAGTTGGATGCTCAGCAGCTGAGCCAAAGTTCAACATGATTTCCTACTGAGAAGCAAGGGAGATGACATTTTCTCTGGGAATGGGAGAAATGCAGAGCTCTTTAAAAAACTCAAGCTTTATATGTTTGCTATGCTCTTTCCCCTTTGCAGAGCTTGGGGGGGGGGGACACAAGCAATACCCAGTCCAATTTCTCCAAGGACTGGGGACTTGCAGAATTTTGTCCTCATATGGGCTTTAAAAAAAACCCAACCTGGATTCCAGCAAACTGGAGAAACTGTTCTTTCCCTTCATGCTCTTTTCACAGAGATCAGTTCAGACAACCTTTTAAACTGCCTTTGGTACCCAGGCGTGTGGCCTGGGCAAAAGGAGTTTGTATGCATGATTGCAGGAGGGAACCTGTAGTCAGAAGACAAGAGAGCTGGTGCCTCTTCACTCCCCTGCAGAGCTTCAACATTGTACAGCAGGGGAGTGAAGGAAATATCACTCATAGCTGCTGTTCACACTCAAAGTCTGGTGTCACTAACAGTGACCAGAGCATGAAAGACGGGGTGTCAGCACTGCCCTTCTATGAGAGTACTTTGGAGACCAGTTTATCTGGGATCACAGACCCCAATATTTACAGAGTTGGTTCCACTTGGGCCAATATAGATAATTTCTGCCCAAGCTCCGCAAGCCCCCTTTCTTCCTAGGGTTCATAAGATTGCTCTTCCCATGCCTTTAGAAGCTACCAGCACTTGGCCATGAAGTGGATGGCAGAACTGTGGTCATTTCAAGGGACTTCTTTGGCATAGCACTGACTCCCAAAAAACCCTTTTAGCTAAGGCAGAGGAGTAAGGAAAAGAGAAGATGCAGGAGCTAAGTGTGTGTGGAGACGAAGGGGGAGACAGAACAGAGCTCTCTGAAGTTCCAGTCACTGCAGAGCAGACAGGGCACACAGACTGTGGAACTACTTCCTAAATGAAGAGATGCTTTGTAAATTAGCACATTTCTGTCTGTGCATCAAGTAACTGTCACAAGGATACCCTTCTAGACTCATGGAGAATCCATTTTCATCTTCCATTAAATCCTCTCTTTTTTAGTATTCAGGGTTACATGTATTCTACTCAGAAGGACAAATTGCTTTTGGGAAGAAAAGTACAGACCGAACACAAGTAAAATATGTGAGAGTGAGCACAAAGCCTTTTAATTTTCACCATGCAAACTCTTTCACCGATCTAGCTGCAAAAATACCTTTTCTGCGCTTTGAGAACCAGGAGTCAGCTTCATTTAAAAGTTGCTTTAGTGATCCATTCCAAGAAGGCACTAGCTGAAGGAACATCCACTAAATAAAAACAAATTGCTGTGAGCTCATTTTAAATTATTTACTAGGCAAAGTATGAATTTTACATTTGAATTTTTACTGGAAAATGAAGATTATTTAGGTTGGAGCATTATGACACAGTGATCCTTAAGCCGTAGAATGTCATGTACAGCATATATTTATGCTAAAGGTAAAGGTTTTCCTTGCTCGAAAGCCAGTCAAATCCAACTCTAGGGGATAGTGCTCATCTCCGTTTCCAAGCTGAAGAGCCAGAGCTGTCCAAAGACTTCTCCATGGTCATGTGGCCAACATGACTAAATGCCAAGGCACACAGAACACTGTTATCTTCCCACCGAAGCAGTACCTATTTATCTACTTGCAATTTCTTGCTTTCAAACTGCTAGGTTGGCAGGAGCTGGGACCAGAGACGGGAGCTCACTCCGTCATGCGGCACTAGGGTCTCTTAACCTCTGAGCCACTGCAGCCCCATTTATGCTAACATGTCATTACATTGGATTTTGTTCAAATCCATTCTTGGTGCACCTGTTTCAGAGGGCAATTGAGGCTCTAGATTAATACCTTCTTGAGAGCTGTATACACATCCATCTCCACTTGCATTACGAACAGATTAGAGGAACTGATCAGCTGTTTCATGAGGTTTATGCTGGAACAGAAACATATTAAGGTAACAAAATAGATTTATTTAACAAACAGATTTTAAAAAATTTATATCCTATTAAGCTAACATTCTCACAGTATCTCAATTAGTCTGAGATGACAATTCCAGATGAGTAGCCGTGTTAGACTGCAGCAGCAGAATAAAACTGGAATCCAGTGGCACCTTAAAGACCAATGAGATTTATTCCAGCATACGTTTCCGTGAGTTAGAACTAATTTCATCAGATGTATGAAAAGAGCTATGAATCACAAAAACATATGCTGGAATAAATTTCATTGGTCTTTAAGCTGCTACTGGACTCCTATTTCAGTCCAAGACAACTGAAATTTTAATACCTGAGTTCTTTGAAGAGTTCCACACTCTGATGTGTCATCAGGTTGTTCAATAGCCATTCAAGGCACCTAGATGTAAAACAAATTAGTCCCCAATGGAGTGCACCAAAACAAGTTTGGACAATATTACAATTCAAGACATAAGAAAAACATTTTCAATAGCCAGTAATGGTGAATTTTTGCTCCCAGTCACATATCATCATATACTCGACCTGCTGCAATGCCCTTTCCTATATAAAGTGCCACTTCACCTACTCTTTGTAGGTCCTGTGTCATTCTTCCACTCATCTACCACTTCCACTGAATACTCACCCAACTGCCCTGTTGCAGGAGGAAGTGACAACAGATGGCTGACACTCCTTTCAAAGAGATTTTCAATTATAAAGGTTGCTACTTTGTCTTCTAAAATTAATCCCTTTCTCCACATCAATGCATATTTATACACTTTTAAAGTGTTGCAGAAACAAGAATAAAAATGTAAGCACGATGAATCCCTTACTTACTCCACATGCTTGTACTTTTAAAAGTGCTACAGAAACAGGAATAAAAATGTAAGCTTGACTAAGAAGAAAGCATACTAGATAGTTCCCAAGATAAAGGCCCAGATTTTTAATTTTGCAAGTCCTCCCCCTCAGATAAGGCTTATTTCACTACAGATGCCAAATCCTTATACTTACTTTTTCTTAACAGAATCTAGTCCATATGTTCCTGCAGAGTTATAATAACTGCACACAGTTTTCACATTGATTGTTTCCTTCATTGTCTCACCACACTGCTGAATTAAGCCATCCTGAAAATACACAATTCCGCATAAAAAATTTCAATGGCCAACCTAAATGCCATATGTAATGTTTTCCCCAAGATGACTGGTGAATTTTTCAACATGATTATCAGGGCTGAATCCTACAGATGTTTTGCTGATTGACAAAAGAGGAGGGATGATCTTGCTCAGTTCCCAGTCTCACAGCACTCCCCCCCCAACCCAAGCTTTTCATCTGCAAGAGTTTTGCAACCCTTTTGAGGGGTCTAAAAGAGGAAAAAAGAGGAGTGGGGAAAGATCCACTCCTGCCAGTGAAATTTCTGTAGGACCCAACCCTATACACAAATGCTCCTTGTTCGGAGGAAGATATTATAACCATTTTCCAGGCAGGCAAAGATGATGAGATTTGGCAGTTACATAATTAGTTACCTTAATTCAGTGGTCTTTAACCCATGGGCTAGGATCCGCAGGTGGGTGTGAACCTGACTTGCTGGTTTATGAGCAATCAGAGTTGCTCCTTTTCCCCTGCCTTTTGAAAGGATGTGCTGCTAAAACACATGCACAGAGAGAAGGGAGCCTCCAGCCTATCTTTGGATGCGCATTGAGAAGAGCTTGTATCTGTTAAGTTCTATGCCAATAAGCCCCAGGTATGGTAAAAGGAGACCCATTTCATACTGCAAAACTTGAACATCTTATAAGTGCCCTAGAGTCTATAAACTAAAGGGCATAGTTACTTTCACTTACCAATTGCAACATGCTGGCAGCAGCCAGGAGGGCAATCACTCGGCTGGGATTTATTAACACTTCATCTCGATAAAGTGAGCCAAATGCTACCTGTAAAGCTAAAACAAAAATCCCATTATAGGAGAGTTCCATCTTTACACTTCACACAAAAAAATTATGAGCTGCTTAAGTACCAACAACAACAAAAACTCTGAAATCAACAAGTTTTTAAAAAGCAATGTTACCAAAAGTCATACAAACAGCAGAACAGAATACATGAATGCCCATGAAGCTGCCTTATACTGAATCAGACCATGAGTCCATCAAGGTCAGTATTGTCCACTCAGACTGGCAGTGGCTCTCCAGAGTCTCAGGCAGAAGTCTTTCACATCACCTACTGCCAGATACTTTCAACTTGGACCTTCTGTATGCCAAGCAGATACTCTACCACTGAGCTACGGCCCCTCAACAGCAGCTGAGCATTTAATACAAAATCAACTCTGACGAGAAAAATAATTTTTAAAAATTATGCTGATGATGGAAACTGGAGTTCCTGGACTACAGAGGTTCACAGACAGGTGGTATTCCTGAAAAGGCCCTGAATGAATAAATACATGATATGGTCTTCACACAGTGGAGAACATGCCTTTTATAATACTTTTCTATTTTATAGCAAAAAATATGTCAAGATTGCATGCCTCAGGTTTTCATCAACCTTTCAACTTTAAGGAAGATCCCCCAAGCTATAATCTGCTTAACACTACTCCCAGTGGAGAAACAGTTTTCCAACTAATTCCCTACAAATACCAGTTGTCATACGTGTGTTTGTTGTTACGCCAACTGCTTTATTTACAGCAGAGGCCAACTAAATTTTTAACGTGAGACACCAGAGTCGTGTCCGAACCCAGAGTCCCAGTAATATAGACCACACGGGTGTTTTTCCAAAACAAATAATCTTTTTACTAAGCAATATCAAAGTCACATACACACAAAAACATCAGTCTCACTTCACATACGTTCAAGTTTCCTTTAGAGTTACAGAAATAGAAATAAAATAGATTCTCAGTTACTTGGAGGGAGGTAGGTAGCTATTTCGATTTATACTCACCTGTTTCCAGAAGTCTTATCTGTTGCAATGGGAATGGGGTAGAAAGTAATACCTAGGGGTTTAAGCTAAATCACACCTGCTAGAACCAGCTAAGCAAGTATGGATCTCTTTGGCTGCAGTCCAAGAGAACTTAAGGTAGACAAAGGATTGTTGGATAGAAAGTTGGACCTTAGGGGTAGTAAAGAAGATAGAGGTCATAGAAAAGGGAGCAAAGACCTAGAGTTTTGGTCTTTAGTTTTATAGTTGAATCTACAGGTGGGTGGCATTTTGCCAATCTGTAATCCCACCTATTTACAAGTCCATCCCATAGTTCTTCCCTATTGGTGCATGTGAAAAAGGGGCAGGTATTCTATGGGTTGGGCGATATTTGAAATACTACACTCTATCTCATGGAATGCCATCTGGCCAGGTGTGAAATGTCAGCTTCCTGCATCCTCTTTGAAGTACAGATGAATCTTGGCTTTCCCAGGCATTCAAGGTACCATCAACAGGAAACAGCAATTCAAATGCAGATCAAGTCCGTGTTCTGCGTGACATCTCGCCTCCTCAGCAATGGGGGAATCTCTTCTTCTTAGTTGTTGTTCTGCTCACAATGGCTAACATGTGCTTCTTCTTCCCACAATGCCTTGCGCTGAATGTGTGCAAGCTACATTAACATAAAATGCAGGCAAGCGTTCCCTATGTGAAATCTCTCTCTCACAGTACGTGATGCAAACAGCTTTCTTTGGCTCATGGTATACAGATGTGTGCACAGTCCATGTGTAGCGTGTGTAGCAGATATAAAACCATAACTTAGTCCATTTCCCAACATTGTGAAATATTAATTATTATAGATGTCAATATTAAAGTGTCCATATGAACAGATATTACTACAAAGGTTAGTATATGGCAATTTAATAAGCTTTGCTCAAGTATAACTTTGAAATGACTGGAGTACACATCCCGGTTCACCAATGCTCATTTAAAATGTAATCCAATCACATATTTTAACTTGCAATTTTTCTAGGCAACTTTTTTTTTAATGGTTGACGTGACAAGTCCTCAATATTTTCTGTCAAAAACCCAACAATTACAAACTGATCCTTTGCTTACCTTCTACATCAATATTCTGATCAGGAATTTCCAGTTCTATTGTATCCATGCCTGATTCCTTCCACGAACCACTGAACATACTGGAAAAGTAGCCAGACTATAAAAAGAAAGTGCACACAGTTAATTCAGATTTATTTTCAAACATTTACAAAATAACTAAAAAACACAATGTGTATGTTAATAAGGTACAATACACTTATGCTCTACTGTCTACATTAAGGATTCTAGTAGAAGTTTGCTTCCATTTCCAAGCAATTTTCAAACAAAATGCCTATTATTTCCAAAATGTAATAAGTATTAAATGTAGAAAAGGTAACAAACAGAAAGCAGCTAGAGTCTATAACACTGTCTGCAATGTTGCTATGTATAATTTGGACAAGAATTCCTGCAGGTACCAACTTATAAGGGAAACTGGAGAAGAAACTGCATGCAAGACGTACAAATTAATTTACAAGTGTGGTCTTATACTACAGACACACATATATTGCTATACGCATACATATAGTTAGGTGTAGGTGAATTAATACACATATACACGTACGCCATTTAAGAATACCTTTTTATTAAAGTGTAATTCATATAAAATTAGAAATAGCTAGTTTTCCATCCAATGAAGCAAAAATACTGCTTTATTAGAATTTTCCATCACAGCAGGAGGTGACCCCATTATGAGACGCTATCAATCACTGAAGTTTACCTGAGAGATTAAAAAAATAAAGTCTATTTGTACAGCAACATATCCCCTAGACCATTAATCAAACTATTGTTAATCAAAGGCAGAAAATTATCAATCTAATTAATTCAAGCAACCCCACATGTATGTTATTCGTTGTTAATGTCTCTTCACTGCTGTGGAATCTTTGATAAGCATATTATGTTTAAAGATTAATGTTAATTCCTATGCCTCACCTATTTGACAGTGGCCAAACATCCATGAAGCCAAAAATGCCACTGCCTGTATTCAGACATCACAAACATCCTGTGGCTTGTTCAGAGGCTCCCTTCTCCCTTGGCATGTCAAGATCACGGTTAACTCTTAAACAGAAAATCTTCAATTTGCCATGACGGCTGAGTCAGGATTTGTGCCTGATTTAAACATCACAGTAAATTGCAGTTAGTTCTAAAACAAGAGGTCTTCAGTCCTGGCATGTGAGGGGAAGCAGGACACAACCAGACAAGCCTGAATGCTTTCTGGCTCACTGTCATCACAAACAAACCAGTGTTTGATTGTGAGACACGGCTGGAACCACTGTGTAGGTGATAGTTTACCATATTTCATTTACTGACAACTGCTGTTAACTTAATTTTTAATTCTAGAACTGCAGACTGACCTTAATATTCCAGGATAAATACACATTTACAAATATTACACAGTTATAATTCAATATAATTTTAAAGAAGTTAACTGTCATGAAATAATTATTTATTTTTGTAAGGTGCTTATGTACCAAATCTATTTTTAAATTATATTTTTTATTGTTCTAAGCTAAGTTAATGCTTAAAAAATACTTGACCACAGAGTCCCCTGAAACGTTTTCCCTTGGGAATCAGCAAATCTTTAGGGAACAAAACAGGGGCCTGCAATGTGTGTGTGGCGGGGATTGACAGAAATTGCCACCCACTCAATAAACCCTAAGTTCCCTTAGGTCTTCGGAACTGTGATGCAGGCCAATAATTCATTTATGCAACTCTGATTTTGTTAGACATCTTAGGCTGCTTCCACTTGGGAACAATTCTCAAGATAGCTGTCCGTGCTGCTGCAAAAGCACAGGCATTTGCAACGGCAATGGAACATCCATGATAACTGCAAAGGGGTAGCAAAATAAAATACTAACAACAGTTATTTCAATGTGAACTTTGGTGACTCACCAGTCACCACTTATTTCTTCAAATACGTATGAAAATCAAGTTTCTCAAATATAACATTTTCCTTATACCTATATCTCCACAATGAAAATATCTATATGCTTCCTTTTTTAAAAAAAAATGTGAATTCAGAGAAGCTAGTAGATCAAGTCAATAAATAGTTATGACCAGGGCTTGCTCACTCGCTCTCTCTTTGAAAAAGAGCTGCTGGAACTCTCAAGAGGGAAATGACGTTTTCAATCTGTATATTGAAAACTCATGAACCTTTAAACATTTCAAAAAGAATTTAGTTGAAGAGGTTGCAGAACTCTGCTGTGCTTAAGAAAAAAACTGAGAAAAGCCCTCTGGTGGCAGCAAAGAAATGGCAGCTATAAGACCCACAGCAAGGTAAGTGGCACCAATGTTTGTAGGACTTCTAAAAAAGCACACCTTTCTGATCACATAGCACATATAGGTGCTTTGCTCAAATCTTTCAAAACAACAAAAACAGACTGCATAAAAGCAGAGGAAGACCTGGAATACGGAGAATTAGGGGACACCATGTGGCTACTTCAAAAAGCTGCAATTTGGATATCAAACCTGAGTAAAATGTCTGTGTGTAGGAGCAACCTTAAGCATACTAATAGAAAGATACAGAAATAGAAATTCCAGAGGAGTTTCACTAGCTTATGGTGCCCATAGTAAAGCCATTTTTTGATCCTGTATTCAGATCGCTTAAATCAGCAAGTGCCCAACAACAGATTCCTATTAAGCCCAAGTCTATTCTGCATGAAACGGAGAAGAGTGGAAAGACATTTCTCAAAACGTGGTAGTCTCCAAACTACAGTCACAGTCCTAACTGTACAAGATGTTCCTTTTCTCCTTTCCAGCTGTAATACATCATCACCTAACATTCTCAACCATCAAATTCAAGCACAGACAGCTACAGTACCAAAGCTTTCTGATTTGCATAGGAAAATATTCAAGTCTTTTATCCAAATAGCACCCTGAGTACATACTAAACAGTGCCCATCCCTAACTTTTTCAGGAACAAGGTGCTTACTTGCACATGATCGATATTGTATTGTATCACACACACCCTGCCAAAAAAACCCCAAAAACCCAACAATGCCCGTTGTGCAATTCTGGTCACCACACCTCAGAAAAAAAACATTACAGCATAGGAAAAAGTGCATAAAAGGGCAACTAGAATGATAAAAGGGTTGGAACACTTTCCCTAAGAAGAAAGGTTAAAGCACTTGGGGCACTTTAGCTTGGAAAGATGACGACTGAGGGGTGACATGATTATGCATGGGATAGAGCAGGCAGAGAAAGAAGTACTTTTCTCCCTTTCTCACAATATAAGAACTTGTGGGCATTCAATGAAATTGCTGATCAGTCAGGTTAGAATGGATAAAAGTACTTCTTCACCCAAAAAGTGATTAACACATGGAATTCACTGCCACAGGAGGTGGTGGCGGCTACAAGCATGGACAGCTTCAAGAGGGAATTAGATATACACATGGAGCAGAGGTCCATCAGTGGCTATTAGCCACAAGGTATCGATAGGAACTCTTGATCTGGGGCAAGTGATACGCTGTATTCTTGGTTCTTGGGAGAGGGGCAACAGTGGGAGGGCTTCTAGTGTCCTGGCCCCACTGGTAGACCTCCTGATGGCACCTGGTGTTATTGGCCACTATGTAACAGAGTGTTGGACTGGATGGGCCATTGGCCTGATCCAACATTGGCTTTTCTTATGTTCTTAACCAAAACAAGCAATCCTTCTGAATATCACTTAGCAAGCCAGACACTGGGAAATAGCATCACAGTCAGTCTTCACAGTCAACAGCTGCTTGCTGGATAGAATGGAAGAAGCAGAAAGGCAGCTATGTCAGCCTTCCTGATAACAGAAAAAAACAACCCTACCCCAAAGTGCAAAAGAACTATTCAGAACATGCATGGGCAGCTCTACTGCCAACGGCACTGTGTCTCCCAAACTTCTGGGATCCTTCCTCAAGTAAGATAGGACACTGTCTTTATAGAGGCAGCTCTCCACAGTCTCAGGAAATGTCTCTCCTAGACCTGCTACCTATGACCCTTTCTCAGGAAATGCTGGATAATATTCTACTGGAAGAGAGCTATCATGGCAGGACCCTGTATGCCATGAGAGGAAGACCCCAAAATATTGAGGGGTGCATGAGAGGAAGACCACAAAATATTGAGGGATAAATACAAATCATAAAATTTCTGGAGTCTCCTGTATTCAGAGCTTTTGTGAAAGGGACTCTCCTTCCACACCGTATGCTGAATCCTCTGAATAGCAAAGAAGGAAGGGGAATAGTTAGTAATAATTAGAAAAAGTGCAATATAAAGACATAGTGTTCAACAGGTCTCACGTATGTTATCTCATGCATCTTTACAAACACCCTATCAGGTACTATTATTGTCCTCTTGTTACACAGAGAGAAATAAAGACAGGACAGACGAAGAAAGCCAGCTGAGCTTTGAGCTAAGGACCTCCTGTCTTACATCCCCTTGACCTACCTGCCTCTGTCTTAGAAGTTCTTTTAATTGAGAATCCTCCTCCCTGGTAGCTTTAGGGTTGCATTCTGTTGTTGGAAACAAGTTTCTTTTGGACTAAAACAACACTTTAGTGCAGAAAAACCAATCTAGAAGGCAAATGACTGCTTGCAGTTGGCTCTGAATGAGGTCACTACTGCTTGCCATTTGTATCTACCTGGAAGTGCTGTGGCCACTTCACACAGAACAGAGGGGGGAAAGTGACCTGGTGAGCATGAAAATGACAAAATGGTCTTTGGTCTTAAACATGCACTTGTATGTGATCAGCTCCATATATATTCCATCATTATACTTTAGCTTAAAAATAAATGGAAAGCAGAAGATAGTTCTACTATGTACTGCTATTCTTAAAATAATTTTAAAATTGTAACTCTAGCTACAATCAAAGGAAAAACTGGAACATTTGCCTGGGGAATATAGTTTATTCTTACCTGACACAAGTATATCTTGTGCAAGTTCCATTCTTCTCCCAGGGCACAAATAGTAATATCACTGTTTTCACCATTCAAAAACAGAGTCTGATAAATATACTTGGAGGTACTTTTTAGTTTTTTCCTAGATTAAGAAAAAGACAAACACAAGTACTGAATGCTGACATATGATATCAATTACACACAACATCTTGGAAGCTTGCTGAACAAATAAACTTTCCTTGCAAGCATCCTTTGAAGTATTTGGTTTTTGTATAGAAAGTGTCATAGTTCAACAGAACTGACATTGATTGCAAATGATTTTATTTATTACAGTTGTGGGGGCCAATCTGAGTTTTTTTAGTACACAAAGGCACCCAGTTATCACAGCCATGTGTCTCTTTATGGGTTTAAATAATTCTAAGAGTCTGCATCACTCTGAAAACACCTTAGAAATGTGATGGCAGCAGGGCATATCCAGCTTAGTTAATGGCTCCCAAAATATGTGTGGCTACTTTGCTTAGCCAGAATCGGTCTCACAAGGGTGCAAGGAACTGTTGCATTCTTGTCAGTCCACCCAATGGCCATCTCATCCAGCAGTGTCTACACTTGAGAGGTCTGAGCAAAGGTCTGTCATTTATTTGATTTCTATACCCACCTTTCAATCCAGAAGGACCCCCAGGTGGCTTGCATATAATAATAAAACAAAACTAAATATATTCATGTTAAATTTTATACAATTCCATCACATTTCTCTTTTCCTAGTTTTCCCCACCTATTACATCTCCTCCATTTGAACTCCACTTTATAACAGTTGGTTCACAGTAGTTGTTCTGTGTGGTGCAGTGGTTAGGAGAAGTGGACTCTGGAGAACTGGGTTTGATTCCTCACTCCATCACATGAAGCCTGCTGGATTACCCTGGGCCAATCAGAGTTCTCTCAGAACTCTCTAAGCCCCATCTACCTGTTGTGGGGAGAGGAAGGAAAGGCGATTGTAAACCGCTTTGAGCCTTCTTAAGGTAGAGAGAAATGAGGTATAAAAGCCTGCTCTTCATCTTCCTTACAATAACTGTGAAGTAAGTCAATATATTTATATAAAACCAAAAATCAGTGGCACCTTAAAGACTAATAACATTTATTTCAATATGAGCTTTTAGAAGTCATAGCCTACTTTCTATCTGATGAAGTGCACTGAGACTCACAAAAACTAGTACTGAAATAAATGGAGAGGTATTTACAGTGACACTGAATTTCTATTTTATTTTGCTGCAACAGACTAATATGGCTACTACTTTAAAATATAATTATTCCCATTCTTCAGATGAAGGCTTGAGGCTAGGGAAGAGTGAGCAGACTAAGACTACCTTGGAAATACTGTGTCAGAAGATTTTAACTGTGACTCTCCCAGTTTAGGTTGTTACTGTAGGTCAGTCAAAACCTTAATTGGCATAGATTGAAAAAGAAAACAATAATAATAGGTTGTTACTGATTTACTATATGGCTCTCATCCTCCCCTGACTGCCTCTCTAAACAACAGACAACCCGTAAACACACACACAAATAAGACTAAGGATGTACAATTCATGCTACAAATGTCAAAAGAAATACCAATTAATGTATCAGACAGGCACTCCATCAAACAATCACCCATAAAAGGTCTCAGATTTTCCCTCCACTTCCCTATAAACTTTCAGTTCCCCATCTGATAACTGGGTAGCCTTCAGGTAGAGTGTCACTATTCTTATGTGGTAAATAAACTTTTATTATAATGCTGTTATGCCACCTTATTACTGTTTGATACTTTGTTGGCTTACACCACAAATAAGGAACTGTGACTGAGGAGGGTCTGTAACTCTATAAATTCTCCCTCAGAAATAGGCACCTAGGCACACTGAAAGTTAAAACAGAAATCAAAATTTATTGGAACAGGCAGGGGTTGGAAAAGTATATTTACAAGTGAACTCTGGGTAGGTTTGGTAGAGCAAGGTTCAAATATATATCCAAAATTGCTTTTATACAACACTAGTTGCGGTGGCTCAAGTGGTTAAGACGCTGAACTGCAGGCTGTGGAAGGTCAGTAGTTCAGCAGTTCGAGACCCGGGTGCCGCATGATGGAATGAGCTTCCATCTCTAGTTCCAGCTCCTGCCAACCAGCAGATCGAAAGCAAGAAATTGCAAGTACGGTAGATAAATAGGTACCACTTCAGGGGGAAGGTAACAGCGTTCCGTGCGCCTTGGTGTTTAGTCATGCCGGCCACATGACCACGGAAACGTCTACGGACAGCGCTGGCTCTTTAGCTTTGAAACGGAGATGAGTACTGCACCCCTAGAGTCGGATTCGACTGGCTTTCAAGCAAGGGAACCTTTACCTTTAGAGATGTTTAGTGAGTTACTTTCTGTGGTTTATTTTGGCTTGATGTTGTTAGAGATGTTTCACTGCTTTTACTGTGATGCAGAGTTTACTAGAGTCCCTTACACCTTCTTTCTGGATGGTTACACAGACTTGAAATTTTATTATGCTTTAACCCTATGTTTATTGACCAGGGGTTTTCCTATCTGCCCCCTCTTCCTCTGGCCAGACTGTTATTCTCTTATCCTTAAGAGCAATAACCTCTTTTGACTTGCTTGAAGGACCTCTGTGCATCTGCAGACCTTCTGCTCAACTCCCTATCTAGTTTCTGTAAACTGGTAAATCAGATTCCATACTGAGAATGTATAATTCTCCACTAAAGTAGTGTTTCTGTTTTTCACACAAGGAGATTTCTCTCCACTCCTTGAACAGGTGAGGTACTGCCAGACTCACTGTCTCCCACCTGTCTGTTATTTGCAGAGGCCACAAAACACCTGCTTTGCTCCAGAGAGGGCTTATCAGACCCTTTTTTTCTTCAGAGTCTCTCACGAGGAGTTTTCTGTTAACTCCCTTGCCTAGCTCCATCTCCAATGGTGGGATTGTGTTATTTTGCCATTACTGGTACACCTGCAGATAAAGTACAGCAACAGTGGGGCCGCCACATGGCAGGTTTTCCTGCCCCAATCTCCGAGAAGTGGCCACCTCCCCCTGGGCCACAAGCGTTTTTGCATTTTTTAAAAAAAGGGTCAGTACAAGAATATTGCTATACCGATATGCCATTGTAACAACAGACTCTCTGAATTCTTAGTCTTCATTTTTTAAGAGTCTCCATTGTAAAGTATGCCTTTTCCTTTATATTTACGCAAAGGAAGGGAGTAGAATTGAAGACTTACCTTTTTAAAAAGGAAAGCTGAGAATTCAGAGAACTTGCTACACCTATTGTTATGCTATATCAATATAACAATACTCCAGCACGGACTTAAAAAAAAATAAGCACCCCAGTGACAGGGAAAAGAAATGGCTTCCATGTGGGCCAGAAAAACAGAATCTTCCTCCCTACACAGCAGCTATCCAAGGCTTTATTGCAATCTTTCCCAAAACTTTGGAACAAAGCAAGTTTGAGAAAGATTGGAGAAAAGCTGCAGGAACCCTTGGAGGCGCAAAAATGCAACACAATGCTGTGGGAAAGCATGAACAATAACAGCCTCCCAAATGCACTGAACTCAAGGCAGAGACTCCATGTGGAAGACCCCAAAATATGAAACTGATGTGCACCAGCTATCTCTGTGGAACAGAGTTTCTTCACACAACACAGTTCACAGCCCCAATGTCTAGTAACAGCCATGAACTTATGTGCCTTTAGGCCTGGTTTATCACTAGCTATTAGGTGTGATAAGTAACATCCTCTGAATACTAACTGCTAAGGACAAAAATATGGGAGCGCTGTTGCCAGACATGTGGGGGCAGTGGTTTGTTTTTCTATTTTCTAATGGAAATTAGAGTATAATATTAAGCAGTATTAGTTTCAAAGTTTTTTGGTTAGGTAATTATCCCTAGGAAGTATTTTATTTATTTATTTAAATTTATATCCCGCCCTCCTGGCCAAGGCAGGCTCAGGACGGCTTACATGAAGCATATAAAGACAGCTAAAACAAAACTGAGTAGAATCATAGCAATACAATTATAAAATATAAAACATAAAACATTATGAAAGAGCATACCTATGTTTTATTGATCTGTAATGACGGAGGAGATAAAAATTACAGATAATATAATAATCCAAGTAAAATAACAAGTAACCAGTTCATCTGATTGGCTTTGATTTGGCCCAGCACAACCAAAGCCAGAATTCTGATTTATATCTCTCCTCACATGCTATAAGGGACATTATACAGAGCGGTCCTAGAAACACTTCTCTGAGAGTAAGCCCCGTTGAAATGGCACACCCGCTTAAGATGGCAATGATAATAAGCAATCTCATGTGGAACTAACAATGTAATGCAACTACGCTACAGAGTAACAGTGGAACTGAGCTGCCCCAGTGACCTCTGTGGGAGAGAGCCAAATTCTGTTGAAACAGTCAACAAAGTAATCAGGCATAGTTCTTTGGATGTGCTAAAACTGTAATGCAATCCTATGAAGACTTGATTCAATGGACTTAAACTGCACAGGATTCTACTGTTTGTGTACAAACCGCTTTAAGTGACCTTGTGTCCCCTCGACCTTAAATTTATACAACGTAAGGGAACTACCAGTATTATCCCAATAAAAATAATTTCCATATAATGTTTTGGATTTGTTTGAATGTAACATTGAAACCACATTTTAATTTTTCTCCTAACAATCAAATATTTTTGTTCAAGTCTGTGTTGCTAATGGGGCATAACATTAACATGGGTTCCCTTTACATTTTTGTTTACTAAATGCAAATCAAAATGCATATGCTAAATCAGATTATGCTTCATTTAGAAATCCAACTTGTATTTTTTTTCCAGAAAACCCACATCACTAGCTGTTACTTTCATACTTTGCTTGAGGAGTCCTCTCAGAAATATATGGCTGGCTGCTACCATAAGCAGACTAGATGGAACTTTATTAATTTGATACACCAAGGCAAAATTTTATGTCAGAGCCACATCCTGATTCCAAGTAAACTCAGAAAAATTTATAAAGACTTTCCCAAAAGGTGCAATAAAAGTGGAGTATCTATTGAGGCACTATACCACATAATTCTGGGGACAAAACAATGGACAATCACAATCGTTTCCATGCTCGGCATGTGTGAGCATTTCGCTGCTACTAGAAACAGACTATAGAGAGCCTTGGGTCTGAGCTATCAAGATACTTCATACAAAGCAGATAAAAAATAATTAGAAGTCGTCCCCCCCTCTGAATACTATAAACTCTTTAGAGGCTTGAGCAAGCCAATTTCCCATCATCTCTCCATTTGCCCTTCTTAACTGATCTCAACATTTTAACACCTGCCGTATCAGGCCGTCAGGAAATAGTTACCTCCCAAAAACTACCACCACCACCCCTTTTGTGTTCATTTACATAACCGTGATTTTCTGTATAACAAAGTGTATTATGCCCACAATGTTGTCTCCGGGTGGCCAAGGCAGTGCAGTTTCTTGTGACTAGGACGAGTCACCCACTGTACTATACGATGAAGTGGAGCCTCCATGTTAAGGGGCAGTGTAACCCGATGCTGAGAGAGGAGAAGCGACACGGGAGGGTGCGCGTCCCTTCACGGGCTGCTTACAAACTTCCCACGGGGGATCTGGCAGCTTCCCTCCCACCCTCCTTTCTCTCACACGTCCGCCTTCCCGCTCAATACCTTCTAGGGGTGTTAAGTAGCCGCTCCTCCCGCTCGCCCTCCCCGTCGCTATCGCTGTCGCTCGTGCCATCGCCAGGGCCGCCCCGCTTCCTCTTGGCCGACCCGCTGCGGCGGCTCCCCCGGCTCCCGCTGCTGCCGTCTCCCCTCACAGCCACGTTCGCCGCCGCTGCCTCCCCTCCGCGCGGGGCTCCCACCTGCCCCCTCCACACCCGGCTGCTCAGCGAGCCCATGGCCGCCCAGCTGCTGCGGCCTCCTCATAGGGACTGAGCCAGGCAGCAGAGCTCGGCGAACGCGACGGATAAAACTGACAGGGTCAACACCGTCGAGCCGCCGCCATTATTGTCACAGCGAGGCGGTCGTTGTGAAGCGCATGCGCCGCGGAAGCAGCCGCCATAGTCGCCTCCGCCGGCTTCTTGATTTAACGCGCCTGCGCCGCGGGGGACGATGTTGTCATTACAGCGGGCGGTAACCATAGAGACAGCGGACTAGATTAACGTGGAGGTGGCTCATCTGTGCTATACCACCCCCCATCTATAGGGGGGGTGGCTATACTCGGGAATAAGGCCTCGTGAGGAAATATGAGATTCATCAAAGCCCAATAGTCCATAGTATGTTAAAAAATTGTTAGTCTTTAACGTAGAAGGCTCTTGGCTACTTATGCCTACATATTAGTATATATATGGTACAAAAGGTTAGGAGGGAACACTTGAGACTTGGGAATGGGGAACTGAGTGAACCGCGGGGCAAATATAGCGATGTCTTTTCTCTCTGGATTGCAACCAGTGCACAGTTTTACTGAGTAGCTGAGAGAGTTTTGTCAAGTATTGACTCAATGCCGGAAGAACAGTGAATTCAGCTTTATTTAGTAACAAGAACATCCGAAGAACACACATAAATAGTGGAGCATAGCTCCCTTTTAAACAATCCCGGCTGATGTAGCCACGCCCAGGAATAGTTAAGGACCAATAGTATTCTTACAATAAAGTCCAATCAGGTTTGTTCCCTCCAGCACCGTTCTTAAGCTTTGATTGGTTACATTTTATCATTAGCCAATAGGATTGTTCCAGCTTAGAATCCTGGCTGAACCTCAAGCTTAACATTGCATCTAATACAGTGAATACATAACAAGTTTCCATTAGGATGGATTTATTTGTTTATTTTGCAGGGGGAGGGAACTCAGAGGTGGCTGGAATTCTAACTGCTAGCTTTAATCTTGGAGACAAATAGTCCCGACTACTAGCCCCAATGACTCCATTAGGAAGAGAATAGAGTCTAGTGATTCTATTCTAGTGACTCTGCAAAGTTATTGCAGCGTAAATTCTGGTGGACCCAAGTCCTGACTGTTGCTTCTGCAATTGAGAAAAACAGGTAAGTCTCTGGAAATGCAGAGTCAAATCAATCCAAGTCATTACACATTTATGTATTTATTTTATTATACTTTTATCCCGCCCTCCCCGCATAGCAGGCTCAGTGTGGGTTACATCAGATTTGATAAAAACACAAAATACAAAAATTAACACAAAACACCAATAAAATACAATAATATCCTTTATCCAGTGTAGTTGTCATTAAAATTAAGGCCTCACAGATGCCATTTCTGGTGTGCAGTTCTGACCTGCTGAGAGGAGGCCCAGTAAGGAAGGAGGGACATCCGTCACCCTACTTAAAAGTCTGGCGGAAGAGCTCCATCTTGCAGGCCCTGCAGAACTGTAAAAGGTCCCACAGGGCCCTGATCTCGTATGGGAGTTCATTCCACGAGGTAGGGGCCAGGGCTGAAAAATCCCTGGCCCTAGTCGGAAGTGAGACAGATGTCCCTGGTGTCAGGAACCACCAAAAAATGTTGATTGGCAGATCATGAAGCCCTTCAGGGCTCATAGAGGGAGAGGCAGTCTCGCAGATATGCAGGCACCTGGCCGTATAGGGCTTTAAAGGTAAGCACCAACACCTTGAAACGGATCCGGTACTCAATAGGCAGCCAGTGCAGTCCACACAGCAGTGGGCGGATGTGGGCCCACAGAGGCAGCAGCATCAGTACCCGTGCCGCTGCGTTCTGCACTCCACCTTGACTGCCTGCTGATTAGAGCTGAAGATTACTTTGGAGAACTGAAACAGGTACAGCCAGTGTAGTGTAGTGGTTAGAGTGTCTGACCATGATTTTGGAGACCTCAGGTTTGAATCTCCACTCCACCATGCAAATTTGCTGGGTGACCTTGGGTCAATCACACACATACAGCCTTACCATTGGGGAAGTGAGGGGTGCAGGAACCTTTTCATGCACTCCCATCTCCACTGTGTTCATTTTGGGATGGAGAGAAGTTAGCTTCCCAATTGCATCGAGAGAGGGGGAGACAGTTGTTCTAAACCAAAACTCAATTTACTCTATTACACACTCTTTAGTCAGAAAACACTTTTGTAGCATTTCAATATTCAACACAGAATATTGCAACACAACCCTCAATACATAAATAGTGCACTTGTTATTCTATAAAGGACATCCTTGGTTGCTCTGTCAAGACCTGTAACAGACCCATAACAGGGTGGTTGGCCAGAATCTGCCATAGAAGGGTTGTTTTTAGTAATATGCTTGGTTAAACTGTGATCCATCTACCCCAATGTTTTGATTGTTTATTGTTATATCCAATATATCAATATGTTTTATCTTGTAACTCACTTTGAAATCTTTCTGTACTCTGAAATGTCCTAAAAAGTTCAAAATGTTAATAAAAAATAAATGATGAAAAAATCCAGACATTAAGTACCATTTCCCAACCATAGGGCTAATGTAACTGTCAGTCAAGTCTGTGACAAGCATTTGACATAATCTGACATATGCAATAAAATCAGTCCTTTCTATCTCTGGGGTCAGGAAAGTCAAGGAAAGCTGGGTTAAGCTAGGTTGACTCAGAGAGTCAAGGCTGGCTAAGAGAGTCCCAGGAAGCTAGGTCCAGATACTCTTATCTATTTAGAATTTTATAATGTATAAACATTCCAAAAGGCAGAAGTCATGTAAGGCAGAAATCATATACAGGATTATTGGTACCAGAAGGCCACAGCACTTAGCAGAGTCCTGAAACCTCCTGGAAAGCAGAACCACAGATTCAACTATAAAGGCTAATTACTATAGAAATTAAAGTATCATAGGTTTATCAGAGGACTGAGACTCAATCCAGGCCCTAATTCCACAACATTAACCCACCTCACAGGGTTGTGGGAGGATAACATGGAGGAAATGATGTAAGCCACTTTGGGTCCTCATTGGGGAGGAAAGTGAGGTATAAATTAGTAGAAGGAGATTGGATTTATACCCCACGCTTCACTACCCAAAGAAGTCTCAGAGTGGTTTACAATCTCCTTTCCCTTCCCCTCCCCGCAACAGACACCCTGTGAGATAGGTGGGGCTGAGAGAGCTCTCCCGAGAACTGCCCTTGAGAGAACAGCTCTGAAATAACTTGTAACTAAACTAAGTTCATACAGCAGTTGCATGTAGAGTGGGGAATCAAATCTGGTTCTCCCAGATCAGAGTGTGTGCTAACCATTACACCAAATAATCAAGATGGCACAATGACTGGGGTTCCTTACTCTTCAAGGGGGAAGGCTCTACCCTTCAGCCTACAGCAGAACTGTTGTCTAGACTTTAAGAATGCCAGTTCCAATTCCTTTTTTTCCCCTGCACATGGCCCATACAGGCAGCTTGGCTAACCATAAAAATCATGGAGGCAAGCCAAGCTAGAAGGCATTTGAGGAAGAGCATCTGCTTTGCATGCAAAGGGTCCCAGGTTCAGTTCCTAGCATTTCCACTTAAACTACAAGATAGAAGGCGATGTGAATGACTCTGGAGATGTGATGGACAGAAGATTCTGTCCTCTTTTCTCCTATTTAGTGTGGATTTGAAATACTCAATGGGATGCTGAAGTGAGGGGGTGGGACTGTGAAGTTTAATAGTCAACACCCAATGGATAAAAATAGGAGCTGAGGTTTGGAGAGAGAAGTTATAGAAGGTAACCCAACTAGACAGGCAGTCTAATAGGGGCTCTAGTGTATGATTTTAAGACACACAGGTTTTAGTTGGTGTTCATCAATAAAAACAGTGAATTGTGAAACCTTAAACACCAAAAGAATAAACACTGTAACCATTAAACATTAAACATAGTACAACTTGCAGTATAGGTAACTGTGTCAACTATCAAACTAGAATGGAAGGGCATTGCAGGTTATGTTTATCAGCTACATAAACATAAGTGTTTGGTTATATGTGGCTCCAGTGTTATCCTTAACCCATACAACCCACAACAGAGAATCCAGAGAAAAGGGGTCTTCATTTTGTAACCAATGTTCTCTGGTATAGGATTATGAAATCTTGTGTCTGTGTAAAAGAAGACACACTAAATAAGAAAGATCAGTTGTACCCCACATACCTAAAGTTGACAGTGGACCTGGTATAGTAAAATAAAAGGATGGTGTGAGTGGTTAGGTAGCTGACAACTTTCCAGACTGAGGGACTTGTTATTAGTAAATGTGGAATAAAACAACAAGAGAAAGGCCTGGATCAGGGGTTGTAACAGGAGACAATACTGATCTTGATAGATCAGTGGTCTGAATTAAGTAGAGGGAAGTTTCATATGTACAGATGGGGACGAACCGGCTCACGAACTAAAGTTTGTGACCAATTTTGACCAGTTCATGGTTTGCAAACTGAAGTTCATGGCAGGTCAACCAGTATGAACTTTCCACAAACTTTAAAGCAGCTAGTAGAGGTTCATGTGGATTCCTGAATGGATACATTTCCAGACTGTCTCCACTGGAACAGAATGTTTACCAAACTTCAAAGGGGGAGCGGGATTCTCCAGCCTTGGAAACACTGTTGTTAGTTTCAAACTTGTCATGTCAGTTTCAAAAGGGTTCTCCCCCTCCCCCCTTTTGCCAGTATTCCTTTATGTTATCTTTCCATTTTCTTGCACAGAGCTTGCAAAATCCCACCCCTCTTGCTTGGACTTGTGACTCTGTGCTTTGAGATCAGTCCTTTTAAGCTTGCAATACCAGTGGCACTGGGTTCCACTGGACACTGTGTGATTGCACTGATACTGCTGAGCACTCTATACATTGTACTGGTTCTGTTGAGCTTGCAAAAATGCCCCCCACCTTCAATTTTTACTGCAGAGATTCTCTGGCTTGACCTTAGCCCTGTTGGGTTTGCACTGCCATAGTGGCACTGGTTCTATTGGTCACATTGCATTCTGCTGGGCTTGCAGAAATACTTCCCATTGTTGTTTAGCTCTTAAAGTTTGTGACGGTTCCTGGCTCATAAACTGGGCATGCCATGAATCATGAAATGAAATGCATTTTCCCAGTTTGTGCCCATCCTTATTAATATGTATGGTCCTTATACCTGGAGCCCAGGAACAAATTTGTGGCTAAAAATTTAATCACTCTATATTCCCAGTCTGACCTTGACAAATTAGCTTTTATCTTATCAGATGTGGATTCTTTTGTCTCCTATAGGATGGCACTTTTTGCTCTGACCACTAGGAAACTCAGAGCAAATGTGGTTTCTAAGAAAGTAAACAATTAAATCAGATTGTAGTTTTTGAACTGGACTGAAAATTTTTAAAGATGTCTGTTATTTTAGAAATGTTACACTTGTAAGGTTGTATGCTGTAAATGTGTTTTGGATTGTGAAGTCCTATGGCCATATACAATAAATTTATTACTACTATTAATATGTATTTATATGTGCAGTTGCAGTAGTGTTGTCAACCTCCATGTGAGGTCTGGAGATCTCCAGAATTACAACTGATCTTCAGATGACAGACATCCTTTCTGACAGATGACAGACACAGGAAAATTGCTGTTTTGGAGGATGGATTCTATGGCATTATAACCTGCTGAGGTCCCTGCCCTCTTTCAGGCTCCACTCCCCAAAGCTCCAAGAATCCCAAGCTGAAATTGACAACTTTAATTAAGGGCCCCAGTCCTTCATTTGAGATGCAACATTGACTACAGTCTATAGCTTATCTAGTGGAAAAGTTCAATTGCATGCCCACCTCTCTATCCTTTTTTCTGTATCATTTCCAATAGGTTTAGGAAGGCTTCTCCTTCAACTCTACTGTTTATTGTTATTATTAAAATTTCCATTTGACATGGGTGAAGCCAAACAAGAGAATGATTTGGGGCAAACTTAGAAGCTAAAATACTAAGCTGAGGCTATCTTACTTTAGTCACATTCTGAGAAGGCAAGAGTCACTGGAAAAGACAATAATGCTAGGAAAAGTTGAAGGCAGCCAGAAAACAGGAAGACCCAACATGAGACGGATAGTCTCAATCAAGGAAGCCATGGCCCTCTGTCTGCAAGACATGAGCAAGGCTGTTAATGACAGGATGTTTTGGAGGACATTGGTTCATAGGGTCACCATAAGTCAGAGGCAACTTGACGGTACTTCACACACACACACACACACAGAGTGAGTTAATGACAGGCCAAGATTTGTAGCCTCATATTCCAGCCTTCACAGACCACCAGAAGGGAAGATGATTAGTGCAATTCTATCTTTGCCCTTATGGACAGAGGATCGTCAGCCTCTTTGTTTATACAACTGAAGCTCTTTTCTATCAGTACGTTAATTAACATGTTCTTGGGCTTGAGGGAGTAATTAAAAAAAAACATACACAGATTTCTCAAACACATACTACAGGATCCTATCATCTCAGTTTCTAAGAGTGATATAAATTCCTTCCAGTCCTTTCTGAACATGTTACTTGAATGCCATCCTCCTCTCTCTACTGTAAATCTTCTGTTAAAAAGTGAAGCTGGGAATTATTCCCCACCACCACCCCATTTCAGATTTACTGCTTCCTTGTAGTTTAACATGCAGGGAGAATGATTTTTGCTGAAAAATAGGAAATGCTAACCCTGTTGGTCTGTGCATTCCCAATGCCAGACATTAAATGAAGTGCAGAAGGAGACCAGGTCTTTGTTCAGGTTCTGTTCCGCCTTCAGGGGCTCATGATGAGATAATCTGAGAAGCTCTTGGCCTAGCTGTTTTGGTCCATTAAAAACAAAACACCTTATACCAGCAGAGGCATATTTGGTTTATTGAACTGCAAAGCAAGCATCACAACGCCACTTCATACTTCAGATGGTCACTGTGTACTGATCTATGTCAGAAGAATATTTTCCTCCAGTTATGTATCATACTTTCACAATTGCTTTATCCTGAAAAATACCCCACTTTATTAGGAAAAGTTTCCTGTTCAGATTGAAGTTGAGGTTCCATTCTGATAGAGAGCAAGTCTTGCATTACACAGAATCAAGATTTCAGTTTGATGCTTGCTCCAAAGCAGCATTCCCACATGAATAAGAAAACTCAGGCTTAAGAAACAATTCAAGGTTACCTCTGCCATATTGTAGAAAAGGTACAAAAATGTGTCAGAATTTGCATATATTCAAATGAAAGAAGTCTACATATTGTGAACAGCCAACACCATAACCGGGGTAAATACAGGAGTACCGAATCCTAAATTACATACCACAAACATTCAATATTCTGACTGATACTATACATATCTGCATGCATTCACTTATCCTGCGGATTACATTCTGTTGGCAGAAATTGTACTCAACATGTGTGTACATACAGGCATGTTCCTATGCACAGACTTTGGAATTTGTCCAGTTTCTCGTATATGGCTTGGAAAGGAAAATACAGAATATCCTGCAAGAGACCAGTATCAGGGACACAGAGGTATCTGTAATGAGAAAATCTCCATAGCTAATAGAAGCCCAACACAGGCCCTGTAGTTTTTAAAGGATTTAGGAAGGTGGGGTTTCCCCATAAGTATGAGGACTAGGCACATGTTCTTAAAAGAAAGAATCACAGGATTCAACATGGGTTACTAGACTGTGTATCAGAGACCTGCCCATAAGCATAAATGAGAAAAGGGCCTCAACCCAGAGTAGAATTAGGCATGTCTCTATATTACAATCTGGCACTTATTTGCATCTTTGAAAACAAAATAGGGTTATTGTTCCCATCCAGTGGGGTTAGTTTTAATTTCAAGACAAAAAAGAGACACACACATATTGGGCAAGGATTCATCTGTTTACTGGCACCTTTAATTATATCAATATTTTATGAAGCCCGGCCAGTATGCAAGGAAGAGCACTTAGGACAACTTAAACAATGCAGCAGACAGGATCTCTAAAGTATCCTAGAGCCTAACTTGATCTCCATTAAATATTTCCAATAGCAAGATGTGCAATCACCACCGCAGTCAAAAGGAGCAACAGCAAAGTTTCTGGTTTGTGGCTAGACACCTTTCTGCAAGATGAAAAGCCAGGACCCCAATGAAACAGACCATTAAAAAAAATCATACTTTCTACATTGAATAGCCCCCCTCCTGCTACCAAGGAGGTGATAATCTATCAAAGCTTACTTGAACAGATCTTCTAGCTGGCAAAATCTCGGTTTAACAATGCAAAACTGACACTCTGTTTACATTGGAGCATTCTCCAAGAAATGAAAGCATTATTGCAAGAGGCTGAGACCACTTAAAGGTCAGCTATAGGCCGTGCCAAAAGCAGAGGACACGGATAAATGGCCGTGCCAAAAGCAGAGGACACGGATAATTCATTTCTTAATCTTCACCACCACCACACAGACGGAGCAAAACTTTTCTGTAGTCTCCTGAGGTGTCTCCCTGGAAGAGAAACACAAATCACTATTAGATTGTTGGCCTCTGAATTCTTGTGGCACACTCCAGTGGCAAAATGTCTTCGATCAGCCCTGCCAAGATGGGCAAGAGCACAGCAGTGCTCCATTCAGTGCAGCAAAGCTTGCATAGGAGGATTTTGTGCTATAGTGTGCTTTTTATTCTCCTTGGCTTGCTTAACTATGGCCAAATGCTTATGTGCACGTAAATTAACTTGAGCTTCCCACAAGCAAAACCAAACTCACCTTAATGAAGGAGTAGAGGGATTTTCCATATAGCCGTTTGAACTCGGCCTTAATATCTATCATGTCAATTTCACAGCGGGACACCATGATTCGAATGAGTGTGTTATCATCAGTCCCCAAACCCTTGGTGGAGGAGAAAAGAAAAAAATCTGAAGCAACCCTACATTGCAGACTTAAATCGGTTTAAGTAGTTATTCATTCTTCCCAGGGAATCCTGGGAATTGTAATTATGGGGGGGGGCATGCACTTGCAAGGGATCTTCATAAGAATTCTCTGCACCTCACCCAAATACAATTCCTAGGATTCTTTGGGTGAAGTCATGGCAATTAGAGATATCAAATCAATATAAGTTTTGTAGCAAATATCAGTACATATTCAAAATCACAGTTTAGCTACCTCTTAACATATTTTGCACTCTGTTACTAAGTCAATAGGCCTTACCCCCAAACAGCTGCATATAGGGCTGCAATCTCTGTTATGTAAAGTGGTAAGTGTCCACACACACACTTTCAATGCTTGTTTTGGGTGAAGTGGGGACCTGAGTGCTACATGTACACAGACCCAGTGTGTGGTAATCAATTAAAGTTAATGGATGCTGGAATTTAAGAAAGGCATCATTGTGGGTGTTCCACATTAAAATCACAGAGATCAAAGAACAATGAGTCCAATTCCATACAAAACCTCTTCCCCAATAACCCAAAAACCTTAGAGATATCAGTTTGGATGACGAGGAGCCGGGTGCCACAAACAGATGCCCTTCCTGTATCAGAAATTCTATGTGCTAATATGTTCCTAGTACTCAAGCATTAGGGAAGGAGTTTTGAAAATGAATTCACCACATTTTGAAATTAGTATGCAACAGGAATCTAGAATTAGTCCCCCCCCCTTTGATAGTGCTTAAAGCAACAAGAATGCAATCTGCCAATATATAGAGAACACTGAAATGCACCTCTGGGCAGAATGAAGACAGAAAGAGTTTTGAAAGTGTGCTGTTGATTTTGGGTCTGTTCTTAGAAAACAAAAGGGGGACTGGGTAAAGTTGTAGTAGTTCTGGGTTTGTGCAAAGTTTTCACTCAACAGAATGAGCCAGTCTTTCCCAAATGTTGCCTTCCTTTGTTGTTTTCATGTCTACATTACAACCCTTCCCTCAGGTCAGCGTTCCCCAGGGGGGTGCCTGCTGAGTGTTTTTTTTTAAAGTGGGTGTGGCCAAGGGCTTTTGCCCTACAGGGCTTCTGATTTGCCACTGGACATCTAATTGCCCGTGCAGATTAAAAAACACATACACATTGATTTGGCAGCAGCTGCCACCACAGCCCAAAAATCCTCACTGTGTAAGTAAAGATCAGCTGTAAGCAAGAAAATATTTTTAAACAATATGTTCCTCTAAAAAACTCATCCTGAGCTGCTGCCTGAAATGTTGAAGAGTTACTATCAGAGTGATGCATAATGTCACTCCCTGACATTTTGTGGTTGGCCCTACCTCCTGCAGCAGCCATTCTGCGGTTGCACCCACTATTCTGTGGCAGAATTCCAAAGGTGCCCCCCCCACAGGCTCAAAGAGTTTGGGAGCCCCTGTTCTGTGGTGTGGTCAGGCTCGTAGCTACAGTGGGGCATCACAGGGCCCGGCCCCCTGACTTACCACCAAGGCCCCCTTACTTCCCATCCAGGCCAGGCGCTCCCTTGGGGGGGAGCAGGGGTGGGCACGGGGTGCCCCCTGACTTATTTAAAGGCCCCCTGTATTTAAAAAATGTTGGCTATGGGCCTGGGTGTGGTGCTTAAGAAACCCTGTTAAAGTTTCCCAGATTCCACCACAACACACCATGAATACATTTCAAATGTAGATATCTGTCCCTCTAGTTGCAAGATTTGGGGATTTCAGACATTTAAACAACTGAGGACACAGTTTTGTTTGATCCATACACAAAGGAGTCATCCTAGTTGGGTGGGTGTGTGCTTTAAAGAATTAAACCCATTACACTTTTTTTTTACCTTCATGGATTTGTACAGTCTTTCAGCAAAGTAGGCACTCCTGTTTCTCATGCATTTTACTGTAAGAAGAAAAAGAAGCAAGGTTAGCAAAGCAAGAGATGACAGCTGCCTGAGCGGTCAAGAGCAGAGTAGCCAATGCTGAGCTAGATGGAGCAAAGGTATGACTTGGCAGAAGGCCATTTCACAGGTCCAACAGACAAAATCTGAACTCATTAGCTACACTCAGCCTGTCAATCAGGTTGAGTGACAATTGCTCAAACCCACTGTCAACACTTCCTGAGCAGCACACGTATATGCAGGAAAGCATAATTTTTGCTCTGCAACAACAGAGTGCCACCGTAAATTATGAAAATACAAGCATTCTGTGTAATTAGCACTTTGCTAACTGGAAACATCTAGTAGAGGAGTTCTTAACCTCTCTATAAGAACCAGTTCAAAAGCTGCCATTAGCCTGGGGGAACCAAAAAGGAGCAAACGGAAAGATCTAGGTTCAAATCCTTGTCAGCCATGAAGCTTGCTGAATGACCCTGGGCCTGAATCTTTGTCAGCTTAACTTACCAAAGGCAGGCTGTGAAGATAAAAATGGGATAATGTGTCTGTTGCCTTGAAGTCTTTGGAAAGTATGTGCATGAGTGGAGGGGATACAAACATAATAAAAGCAAACCAACCCCTAAGAACACAAGCAAGGTAACTATTGCAAGCACTTCTGCTCCTTGGCTTGCCAAAAATGGTCAGTAACAGAAAATCTACACCCAAATTTAATTCTACAGTTTAATAAGACACTTACCTATTGCTAATAAAGCATCTTCAAGGTCACCTGACATCTCAGATTTAATGCTTTCTGTAATGTCCTTACCAGAGAGGTTCTGGTAGGCGCGAAATACTGAAAAGAGAAAGAGCATTTTTCTGTACAAGAAAATTCTGAAGAGTAGTACTCCCATTTTTAGTGTAACTCTGATATAAACATTCTGCATCAAAATATCAGGGGCTTAAAGAAACACTCTAGTAACTGAGCTGGGAGATGCCACTGAGACAGAGTGGGAATTTACTGCCAGATCCTGAAACTTGAGTCTGCAGATTAAGTCCAAGTAACATTTGAGAACACTGATTGGGCTGTCCAGGTATGAGATTCTTGTGTCCATTCTGGTAAGCTTTTGAAATTTGAGTATGTACAAGGGAACTTACAGTTTATAAACATCAGAATACCTTAACATTTTCTATCTCTTTTCCTATTAAAGTAACACACCAGAAATAAATGTAACCTCTGATATGTCATTAGTTGAGGGGCCTATCAATTAAAATTGCCCCTACAATTAATGAACTAAATCTTTGGTTAAATAGTCTACTGATTAAAGATTGCTCTGTGGGTATGAATTGCAAGTTCAGTCAGGGTTACTATGGTTGTGATTTGGGGATTCATGGTGCTTAAGTTGCTGGGATCCAGACAGGTGCTTGTTTTCCCAGAGAAGAGAGCCATAAAGTGCACCAAGAAGTCAGTCGAGCAGAGATTAATCTCCCAGAGAGATAAACATGTGCTCCATCTGCCAGGTGAGCAAGATGGGTAACTGTGCAAAACATGATCTGGCTACTGAGATATGTGTGACATGAGATGTGTGGTGGACCTTCTGGACCTGGTCCACCATGAGTATTTTCAATCAGATGCAGCACATGTCTGATCAAAAGTTGTCCTGATAGATCTGGGGAAAGATTCAGGTCTATTGGAGCTGAAAAAATTCAGGTTTCCCCAATATTTATCGAATCTCAATACCATACTGATATACGGATTCAGGAATATCAGGAAATACCAATAGTTTTTTGGGTCCAATAGACCTGAATCCAGAAAAAAATTATTTTTTCCTCCTTGCACATCCCTATTTGATAGCAGACAAGTCTAGGAACTGAGGGTGAAATTAGTTCTTCCATCCTTTAGTATATGGATGGCAGTTGTTTGTCCTAGCATTATAATTTGCTTTGCCTCAGGCACAGCACTCAAAATTCATTTTCTCTGACCTAATGAGAGAGTCTTCATAGTGCTGGAATTATGATTTCCACAGTGGTTAATTACAGCACAGTTTCCAGAATTGGGCACGCCCACATCATGTGCAACAGGGCAAATAATTACACCTCCAACCTGATTAAGTGCTTAAGAAGACATTTTGAAATAATGTTATCTATGCCTAGCATAGTCTAAATATATGTTTCTACTGGATCAGTCTTAACTTTATTTATGGGAGACTGTAGGTGCTAGATTCTACTGGATCAGTCTTTATTTATGGGAGACTGTAGGTGCTAGACTCCTTTATCAAGGCAATCAGTCTTGCAAAATTCTCTTCCAGTTTCTTCTTTGGCCAGTTCTGTCATAATTTCCTTCTCCACAGAGGAGATGCATGAGACATATTGGGCCTTAATAGTTTCATTTCTGTTGCATTTTTCCTGATACTTTTCCATTGGTGTATAAGCAGTGAGTTTTCAAGTTCCAAGCAACGTGTGAGCCATTGGTTTTAAAAAAAAATAGATAGTAGATCTGGGGAAGGAAACATGGTCCTCAGAACTGAAGGTCTTTCTGAAACTTCATCATTTACTTCATTTATACCCTACTTTTCGTCCCAATGGGGAACCAATGTGGCTTCCATTCTCCCCGTCTCCATTTTATCCTCGCAACCACCCTGTGAGATAGGTTGTGCTCAAAGTATGCAACTGTCCCAAGGTCACCCAGAGAGCTTCTGTGGCTGGGGATTTGAACCTGGGCCTCCCAGATCCTAGACCAACACTCTAACCACTATACTACTCTGGCTCTTTACAGGCAGCGAGACCAAATCTGGAAGCAAGGGCATGCTCTAGTTGTACAGACTGTCACTTGTGGGGGGACTTTGAGAAGGTTTTTTAGTGTGTCAAGTACTAAAAGGATCCAAAAGTCCCTAAAGAAAGGATCTAACACAAAGATTTGTTTTTCAGATGACCTTTCCATGTGAAACATGTAGCATACCATCTTCAGATCTGGATTACAATAACTTCATTCATTTGAATACTTGTGTAGGGGCTAATTTTACCTATCTTTGTAAAGGTATCCGGAAGCTTATGTCAGAAATGAAAATATTTGGGGCCAATATGTCTCATGCACCTCCTCCATGGAGAAGGGAATTATGCTGGAACAGGCTGAAGAGGAAACTTGAAGAGAATTCTGCAAGACTGACTGAAGTGGTGAGACTCCTGCAAGGGCCCTGAGCTAAATTACGCAAGCCAAGCCTTGAACTGTGCAACTGTTGTTTGCAAGTTAATTGGCATCCTCCAGAGAAGATAATTAATATAAGGGAAATGAGATTAAAATTGATGTAAAATTCTTCCTTCTATTACACGTACAGCATTAAGGAGAGTATACTTTATTTGTATTTGTCCTAATGCATCACAGATCCCCAACCAGAGAAGTATTTTTAGAAGAATAAGACAGAGCAATAGAAATCTTACCCTTTTCTAGATGATGTTTGTTTCTGGAACAGAGGACAGTCATGAACTGGGCCTCATCTGTCCCCCATCTGGCCTCCCCAGCTTCATACAGGCACTGAACATTATAAAAGTGCGGAAAAATTAAAGTGCTAGTTTTGAAAGGATCGAGACCTCATCATCTTGCTGGATCAGACCAAAAGCCCATCTCGTCCAACATCCTCTTTCACAAAGCAGCTAGCCAGATGCCCCAGAACTTCAAAACTGAGACACAAAGGCAGCAGCCTCCTCTGTAGATCTGGATTTACATCCCCCCCCCCAAACACCTGCAAGTTGCAACACTTCCTGAATTGGTTGGCAAAGGCTGGTTAGAAAAGTCTTACAACAGTGATCCCTAATAGGGCACCATGACACCCACATATTTTGGAGAAAGTCCCTATTAACAGGGACTGGAGCTTAATTCTAGGTGCAAAGGACTGGGGCTGTTAGAAAACTATTAACAGTTGTCCCACCATTGTTTAATTCATGATGGCGGAATCTATCCAATAACTTCTTTGTTGACTAAGAAGTTGTTCGCTTTTAACTGGAAAAAAATGGCTCCTCTAAAGCCATCCCCTCAGCCCTGAAGCAGAGAGGAAATGAAATAGAGTCCATTTGTGTGAAAAGCTACAGACCTGGGCATCTTGTTGGACAAGGCCCTCATCGACATAGTTGCTATCATCTCTGTTGCCCTAGAAATGAAATGGGTTTGTTAGATTCAACCTATTTCAGATAATGATAATATAAAAACAGACAACTTAATGTTATATTTGAACTGGCAGAGAAAGTTGTATAAGATGGGAGAACATAAAAGGGAAATGCCCCACATATTGGGGGGGGGGCACATTAAACATAAGAGACGACAATGCTGGATCAGGCCAATGGCCCATCCAGTCCAACACTCTGTCACACAGTGGACAAAAATACCAGGTGCCATCAGAAGGTCCACCAGTGGGGCCAGGACACTAGAAGCCCTCCTACTGTTGCTCCCCCCAAGCACCAAGAATACAGAGCAGCACTTGCCCCAGACTGAGAGTTCCTATCTATACCCTGTGGCTAATAGCCACTGATTGGCCTCTGCTCCATATGTTTATCCAATTCCCTCTTAAAACCATCCATGCTTGTAGCCGCCGCCACCTCCTTAACAAGGACGGTAAATTAACAAAGGGGAGAAAGAACTATCTTTTAGACAAGTTCTGCTAAGTTTTCCAAGACATGGTGAAACACCAGCCTTTTGGAGGTTCAAATGGGGAAAAAATCTTCACCAAGTGAGAATGTGATGGAAGTCATCTTGTGATGAGGTATTCTTTTCTCTGAATGATTGATTCTTTCGCATGATGATTTTTGTAATTTATCCCTTTGTAGTAACTGCAAGGGTTAAGTATTTATTCTATCACTTGAAGCCCCTGCATTCAATAAATCACAGTTTATAAAGTTTAGCAGGCCCCTCAACAACCTGTAGTATGTTGAGGGCACTAAACTGGAATTCTTATAGATGTGTTTGTTGATAGCAGCTGTGGTGTGTTATAATTCTGAAATCCCAGTTTGTTCAGTAGGTCTGCCCCTGGCACCACCTGGATACAGAGTTAGCAACACAGAGCAGCTAAAAATTCCTAGCTGTTCTGGCAACATTTGGCTATTTCTGAGTCTTTCCCAGGACACACCCTGCTACCCTCTCTGCTCTCCTACAAGCCTTCTCGCCACCCACATCCCTTCCAGCTATTAATGACTCACCAAGCATAACTGTGCAGTTCCAGTTTCTCCAAAAAAGAAATTTAAAAGGCAGTAGGACAAGAGATCTCTCTTAATCATAGGCTTTTATTCAGTTTGCCAACACACACAACAGCGATTGCTCCACAAAAACACTGTGACAGTCAAAAGTGGTTCACAAACTGCTTACTTGCTGTACTTTCCTTCCCATATAATTTAGTTGCTACAGAAGAATATAGGTTGCTGAGTGTTCTTGTGCATGCATGTACATGCAAACAGACTACATACACCTCTTCAAGCACAAAAGCAAGCCCATATTGTGTGACCTTTACTGAGAAGGGGTATTTGTGCACTGTGGTTTTAAAAATGTTTTTCAAGCTTTGCAAATACAAGCAGTTCTCATGAGTAACATGTGGCATTTTTGCTGCAGCTGGAGAATAATATGTGGGGTGTTGGGAGGAAAGTACACAGCTGATTGCTTAAGTGGCCTGAATTTACTTAGCAAGGAGTCATGCAGAAAACATGGTGGGTGTTTGTGAGATGGGTTTGCCAAGGAAGATGGCTTACAAGCCTTGGAAGAACTTTGCATATGCACATGGGTGTGTGTCACCTTGACAAGAAAGATAAACTGGCAGAGAAGGGAAGAGAATGAAAAAATATGGCAACTTTGGGTTACTTATTCTTATACTTCAACAGCCTAGCCCTGATCACACCTCTGTCACCCTTGCCCTTTTCCATAACAAGTCCATACAGTGTCCCACCATGTGAGCAGGCAGTACTCACAACCAATGCTCCCTCTAAGCTGTGGAGTACTGTGAGCAAAAATTCTACTTTGTGAGCTCCTGGCATTAAAGTTGTGAGTGAGCGATTGGGCTACTGCATAAATGAGTTTGCTCGGGAGCCACCCTTCCTGAGCGAGGACAAAAATGGATGAGTCGGAGGCTAAAAAACTATGAGCTAGCTCACACTGACTCAACTTAGAGGGAACACTGCTCACAACTAACTAAAAAGAGCTCCCTTTCAAACCATTTTTATCCCGGGAGTGTGTGACCCAATCAGTTATTCATATATTTATACCCCACTTTTCTCCCCAATGAGGACACAAAGTGGCTTGCAACATCTTTGTCTCCTCCTTCATTTTGTCCTTACAACAACAGTTCTGTGAGGTATGTTAGGCTGAAAGTGTGTGACCAGCCCAACATCACCCAGAGAGCTTTCTTGTCAGAGTGAAGATTCAGATCTAAGCCTCCTAGACCCTGGTCTGTCACATTAACCACTATACCACATGGCTCTCTCAAAGCTGTTCTCTCAACAGCAGTTTCTGTCAGAGCTCTCTCAGCCCTACCTAGTACCTCACAGGGTGTCTGTTGTGGGGAGGGGAAGGGGAAGGAGATTGTAAGCCGCTCTGAGACTCTTTTGGGTAGTGAAGGACAGAGTATAAATCCGATCTCCTCCTCCTCTTCTTCTCTCATGAGTTTGTTCTCAAGCTGTAGAAGATTTGTTTTTATTTCATATGGGAAAGAAACAGGAAATATAGTGAAGTGGCTAGACTGAAAGGGAAAGCTGAATGTTGTAAGATAGCCACGAATGAAGCCGGAATGACACCGACAGCCAGATTTGTCAAGAATGGCTTAAAGATCTCCAAAGAATCTTGACTTCCCCTTCCTGACTCTTTTTATTCAATCAGCAAACAGTAAGCAGCCTACAAAAAGTGAAACTTTGCCAGCTGCTTAGAAATCCTTGAGCACTTGGGACTGCCTCTTCTTGGAAGAGGGAAAGGACACAAGCAGTGAACTATAACCAGGGTTTATGACCAAACTGTGGTTTATGGTGTAGGTCTGCTTTGCTACACACATCTAATAGACCAACCAGGACTTGAGCAAAGCCACTCTTTACTCTGACATGTGAATAACTCCAACAACATATACACACTAGAGGGGTGTGTGTAAAAATAAAGGCACTCTCACTTAAGGAACCAGCAATCATACTTCCTATCTATGTTTGAAATCCTGCATTTTAGAACTCTACCACCGTTGAGAAAGCATTCATTCCAAGTTGGAAGACATAGCTCTCTCAGGGCCAGCCCATCCACAGAGGCTAGCTAGGTGGTAATCTACAGCACTGGGCCTTAAGAGACACCAAACTAGAAAGAAACAAACTCCTTTTCTCATCTGTGAAAAAACCCCAAACAGTAAATACCCTTTTAGGACCAAAATTACTTACAGTTGCCAGAGATACCAGAACTCTCCGCAACATCGAAGACGTGTCAGAGACAATGTCCTTCTCAAGGTGAGTTCCATACTCTGTCAAGATCCCAAAACATAGTTGTTTTTAAAAGGTGCGTGGGAGTGCATTTCAAAACACAGCAGCTACATTAACATTTTGAAAGACTGCATAGCCACCTTTGAACCAGAGGTGGTCTCCAACACAAAGCAAGGACAGTGCCTCAGAAAGCTGATACTCAGGACTATTAAAGGGGAGACAGATGTGATGGGAACAATGCATTGAGATCTTCTACTGCACAAGCTCGGTTGAAATGGGGATACACAGGAAGCATCAGAAAATCAGCCCAAACAAAGTCTTAATACGCACGGTGTTTGTAGGTTTCATTAATCCGTCGGATTTCATCATTTGTACGAGAAGCCAAAATTTCTATCAGGCAGCCTTCATCTGTCCCAGCCCCCTAAGTAGATGCAGATATAACAGTATTACCACAAAGAAAGGGAGAGGTGTGAGTAACTGGCAGGACTTGGACATAACTATCCTAGGCTTAGTAAAAAAGACAAAATACCAAGATGAAAAAGGATCCCAGGGGCCTTGAAAAATATAATAATATTAACTCAGCTCAGCCCTGACCTGGATGGCCCAGGCTAACCCAATCTCATCAGATTTTGGAAACTAAACAGGGTTGGACCTGGTTAGTACTTGGGTAGGAGACCACTAAGGAAATTCAGGGTTGCTGCTCAGAATCAGGCAATGGAAAAAACCACCTCTGTTTCCTCTTGCCTTGAAAAACCTACGGAGTTGCCATACATTGGCTGCAACGTAACAGCACTTTACACACACAGTCCTGCTCAGAATAGTATTCATCAGGTCATTATCAATCTCCTGACACATTAATATAGTAAACCACCTTGGCAGCTGATATGGCTAAAAGGTAATCAACAACTATAGCAAGGTAAATGAAAAAAAATTAAACATACTACTTAACTGAAGTTAGAACATGGGCTGTACACATTTACATATTAGATTTGCTAAAGAAATGCAGACTGTAGTTTTACAGTACATGACCAGATGAGCACATCTGGTCCTCATCAGTGCAGAGAAAAGCTTGCAAATGGGCAGACATCAGATTGGATTCAGTGATATATGCACAGAAAGGAAAATGTACTTAGTGCAGTTTTGTTTGCATAAGCAGTAGTACGCAATGGTGATTTAATAAAATTTTTAATGAAATACCAAATGTCCATATGGAGCAATGGAACGTGCATCAGAGTCACATGATTTCATTTAATTTAGTTTTCAAATTGTATCAGAAGAGGTCCCTTGTGTTATGACTTGCGTACGTGCAAGAGACAGTAGGGATGGAATTGCTTTCACTTAGTGAAGACAAAAAAGGAGTTATTTTAGTACTTCTGCAAGGACTATTTGTTACGCATGTGGAAATCTTCCATGTCTGTACATTTCTCAAATAAGATGAAGGAAAGGACATAAGAGTTCTCTATAGTCAGTGTGATATGTTTACTTCAGTACTCTAAATAATGCTCTAGAACTTCTTATATTGTGGCTATTTCCTACCCTAAACTCTATTGGGCATGCAATCCCATACATTATTCTCCTGCAGTGCTACCCCAAGTACACTTTCCAGTGAGTTAGCCCACTGAATAGATTTGATTAGGATTCTAAGTAGACCTGTTTAGGATTGCACTGTTAGTGTCCATGCCACCTTAGTCCCAATCACTGTGAAAGTGGGAACTCCGCCAACAGAAGACGTACATTATTTATTCTACTCACACAATCCGGGTACAGAGTTCACACAGCCCTAGTTCCAGGCCACACTGTCCCCATGACAATTTTGTTGGAATTGTGTGCATTGCACTAAATTCACAGGCTCTTCTAGTAAAGCACTTGCAAACCTTCATAGCGTTCTTCAGTTCCTGAACATCATACAGTGTGATGGGAGTCATCAGTGCAACAATGGTCCTCTCAAAATTTCCACTCAGTTCAGACTTTAGGTCAGCAATCAAATCCTGTAGGGGGAGGGGGACAGAGATGTTCTTGATCAATAAAGGCATCACATTTTTATGTCACACAGAGGTGGTTAGGAAAATGGTCTCAGTGTGGCACAGACACACTGACGAGAATAGTCCTTTGCAACAGGGAAGCAAGGGTAAGATCAATGTACTTAAAATTTCACCATGTTGTTTAATAAGAAAGGTTGGAGGGAAGAACTTCTAGGCATGCAAAGCCAAAGAGAATTGTGTTTTGTCCCAAAGAATTTTATGGATCCAGAGATCTGAGTTTCAGTAAGTAAAGCAGGCAATAAATGAAGTAACAACATACAATTTGTTTCATGAACAAAGAACGTTTATGCAAGAAAATCAATTGACCAAACCTGCAGCCTAGCAAATCATTAACCTCTCTGTCTCCAGGGGCCTGGACATTTTTCCTTTTCCTGATGGCAATACGAATGAAGAAAACACTATGAAGGGATTAACGGTGCTAGGCTGACGCTAGTTCAATTATGGTCCATGTATGGGAATATTGCTAGATTGCCTGAAAAGCGTACCAGGATCATAAACACAGACAGCTTCACCATCAATATTTACTAATAAGGAAATTTTTATAAAATGTTGTTTATTTGTCCTCAGTACAACCTATGATGTCTTTAACGTGGCCCATGTTCTGAACGGGAATTTAAAGCCAAATGACTCACCCAGAATCCAGCAACTATGCAGACCTTGCCCCCTGTCCAATATTCTGCTCAACAAACTCAACTATGCATATAAACTCCTCAGAATTAGTAGCTCACAAGCATCTGTACTAGTTTGTATGCCCACACAGCTATGTAAGTCACTTGTAGCCTACACAGAAAAACATTTCATTCCTGGAAACCTGAAAAGCATTTCTATGCACCATGAGAATAGTAAAATGATCTCCCCTTAATTTAATACATCCTACTGTAGATAATGTCACACATCCACAACTCCAGGACTGAATGGGAATATCTGGGTTCCCCACACTCTTCCGCACATAGGAATCAACATTAAGATCCCTATGACATAATTTTAGAGTGAGGCTATAAGAGTTTTCCTTTCACCGAATACAGAAGGCAAAAACTTTGATACCACCTACCCGGCCAATGGAGCTTTTGTAAGCAATTGCAATTTGCTGTCGTTGGGCCAAATTCCTCTTGGTCAAAACTTCAATAATGGCATCTTCATCTGTGCCTGGGACAAGGGAAGAAAATAACTAATTTATTTGAAACTTAAGTAGCAAGACTCCCCCAATGGGAGAAAAACACAATTGGTTTTCTGCTAGAAACCAGCCACTGGCAATAAAGAAGTTTTGGCTGATAGTTTCCCATAGTAATAGAACAGAGTTGGGATCTGAAAACAACCTCTTCAACAGCTATAGGCAAATGTTGTCCTCTAGAGCCATGCAAAGGTTCTTCTCTTCCAAGACACCACATAACAAATATATTGTTAGGTTTTAAGCAGATTCTAGTGTGTACTCAAACACCTCCATCTTTTAAAATCCTCTTCTACATTCAGTCCTCCAGCCCCTTAGCCAGCAATTCTCTTTTTTTTTGTATTTTTGTGTGTGTGCGTGCACAAATGCCCGTGCCTAGAAGTCTTGGTGACCTCTGGCAACTCCTATGGGGCATGGAGGACATTCAGATAAGTGGCTTGATAGCCTGCCTCTGCCTCCTGGCCCTGGTATTCTTTGGAGGTCTCCCATCCAAGTACTTGCCAGGGTACTTGCTTAGCTTCCGAGATCTGACAAGATTGGGCTTGCCTGGGCTATCCAGGTCAAGGCAGCCAGCAATTTTTAAATCTGTCAGGCCATCTACTGCTCTGCTCTGCAAACATCATTATTTTGGGGGACCGTGGTTGCATCACTGCACGCCATCAGCTCAGAGAAGGAGCAAAGCCTGTGGATTAAGCCACAAAAGAGCTGATCGGACCGGCAGAGACAAATCCTGACACAACAATTTCGATTTGCAGTTTATAGCATCCACTATAGTCAAGTACACTGCGACTTTTTGTTTTACCTTCGTGCCAAGTAACCAAGGCCTTCTACCTCAAAATATTTCTCACCTCCTTTCATGCAGAACACATGGCCTGCCTTGTTCAAGAATCAACAGCTTAAAGCAGAAGTACTAAAATTCCACAGCACCGGGCAGAGAAGATGCAGGAGGCTTATGCTGAGTTGGACAAGAATTAGTGAGGCACAGGAGAACACTCACCCAATCCTTTCATAGCCTTTCGAAGTTTCTGGGCATCCTCTTCAGCACTGAAGGAAGTAGATCCCTTGATGGTTCCCCAGCTTCCTGCCTAAAGGCCACAGGATATCAATTGTTAAACAGCATAACAAACAAAAGGGTAACAGAGATCTAGGGCATGAGCAGGATGCTTGGCCATAAAACCAGGGAGAATACACTTGGACTTCTAGATGGTCACTTCCAAGGAATCCTCCACAGCAAGTAGGGAACAGATCTGGGAACAGGATTAAGCATAATGGCAGCTTCCCAATCCTCAAAAAACCCTGTTGAGACAGTGGGGCCTGGAGATCTCATAGAATTACCACTGATCTCTAGATGACAGAGATCAGTTCCCTTGGAGAAAATGGCTGCTTTGGAGGGTGGACTGTACAACATTATACCTTGCTGAAGTTTCTCCCCTCCCTAAACTCTGCCCTCCCCAAACTTTACCCTCAAATCTCCAAGAATTTCTAAACTGGAGCTGGCAACCCTCAGACAGTTGCTCCACACAAGCTAAGCTCAAGCAGTTAGATGTGCAATCCCCAAATGGGAACAGGCCTGTCAAAAAGGTCCAACACTCAATGAAGTTCACTACTGACAAGCAAGCTAGATGTTTATATTTTATCTGGTATGGGTGGCTGAAGAGGTGGTACGTGTTTGTTGCCTTCGGACAACTTAGTTCCACTGGTTCCCCTTTACTACATGGGAGGATCGCATAGCTCAGGGGAAGAGCACATGTTTGCATGCAGAGGATTCCATGCTCAGCAGTACTAGAGAACATATACAGTATGTACTGGAGCAAAGAAGGCTGAACACATGGCCACATAATGCTGCCCTATAATAAATCAGACCATTGATCTAATCTAGGTCAGTGGTGATTACTCTTAACTGGCAACAGCCCTCCAGTCTCACAAAGAGGACCTTCACATCACTGACTTCCTGATCGTTCGAACTGGAGAAGCTAGGAATTAAACCAATCCAATCCAAAGCCTTTTATTGGCATATAAATAAAGTACAGAATCATACAGAGTCAAATTAAAATTGCCGAGTAACATCACAGAGTATCATCATAAAAAACCTAGTTCATAATATCATTTATCAGGCCGTAGGGCCATGGCACTGCAGAGAAACTTTGCTGCTATTTCAGCTATTTCTGTATCTGAGTTATCGAGCAAGAAAAGGAGCTTAAAATCATCAGGGGTCTCTAAAAAATGGCCTAATATGGGATATAGAAGATCCCGATGGGACGCCAAATAGAGAGGGCACTGGAAGAGGACATGGGCAACAGTTTCAACACAATCCTTCATACAAGGACAGCACCTGCTAGGATAGGGAATCCCTTGGAATCTGCCAGATAAGATAGCTGAAGGAAGAACATTAAATCTAGCCAAGGATATGGCTCTACGCAAATTTGGAGCTATGAGTTGATAGAGGTATACTGCTGGAAGATTTGCATTAGGAATAATCCCCAGTTGTAAGGGAGAACAGGTTCTGTTAGACAGGCTATAAAGAGTTTGTAGCTCTGATCCCAATAATCTAGATTTTATTATTAAAAAGGCCTCAGACTCAGAAAGCATATATAAGGATTCTAGGGACAAATTCAGGGAACTTATTTTGGCTTCGATGTAAGATAGCCATCTGGAATTAACAGATTCCGAAAGTAGTTGGTACATATAACTGAAGGGGTCAGAGTTGAAATGGAGTTGTAACCAAAATTTAATTGTGTGGATCCATGCCTTAGTAGCCAGCAAATTCTGACTGCACTGCTAGGAATTAAACCCAGATATTCTACCACTGAGCCACAGCCCATTTCAGGTTCAGAGGACCTTAAGCTCTGTCCATCATGCTGAAGCCAAAAGTATACCATGCTCTTTCTGTTCTCATCACTGACTTTACACTTCGTTGGAACAAGATCAAGCCCCCCCACCAACAAGATCAGATAATATTTGCTCTGATATGAGGAAGCAAAGGCAAATCTTCCTGTTGTTTTATTTCCCTGAGTCAATATCACAGACCACTAACCCTGTTTATTAGGCTCAGAGCATACCAGGCACAGCCTGCACCTGGCAAACATAAGTACTCACCATTACAACGTAGACTCAGTATTCTTCTAATCTTGAATCTCCCAGATAATTCTGTCGGATAAGGGAAGAGGAAGGGAATCAATTTTAGATAATCATTGATAGAGTTCAAAGTCTCTGCACCTACCTGAAAGTTACAAGACAAAGTCCCTATTGCCTTCTAATATTAGAGAGAAAAGCTGCCAAGGCCCTGTGGATTTAAGAGAGACTGAGGCAGAGATGCCAGCCTCCAGGTGGGACCTGGAGATCCCCTGGAATTACAGCCCAGTCCAGACTACTGGAGAAAATAGATGCTTTGGAGGGTGGACTGTATGGCCTTGTGCCCCACTGAGGTCTCTGTCATCCCCAGGCTCCATCCCCAAATCTCCAGGAGTTTCCCAGCCTCGATCTGGCAACCCTACTCCCCCGTCCCCCCCTAGACCAAGGAAAGTTGACAAAGATCCTTGCTACACTGGGGCTGCGGTCACACGGAACAGAAGCCACACAAGTGAGACGGAAAACAAGCGGAGTTTCCGGGCGCGATCTCACCAGCACATCTGGGAAGCGTAGCACTCCCGTGGCACAACCGAGGCTTCCAGCCGAAACTGCGTGGCAAAAAACTAGTACCTCGGAGGTACTAGTTTCCGGAAACTGCGGGGCAAGGGCGGGCGTCTGATCGCGTTTCCGGTGGCATCCGGCGCCCGCCCATGTCTCCTTGCAAATAAGGTGTGGTTTTTTTGTCCACGTCTCTGTGGATGCGCACACGCACCCAACAGAGCATGCGCATTCGTCGTGTACACCCTAAAAAAACCCAGTTTGCCGCAGCGCGCGCTTCTTCGTTGCGCGCCGGCTCATCCTGTGATCAGCACCTCTCCCTTGCCATGGAACCTCCACGGTGCCCCCACAGGACCTCCACAGGAGGTCTGATCGAGTAACTGCGCAGTAGTTTGCCCCAGAGCAAACAGCCACGCTTCTCCCCCGCAGTTTCCTGCCCGTGTGACCGGGGCCTGGGTTATGTACCCCACCAGAAGACACCCTGTAAGGACTGACTTACAGTGAAGTCCCAAACACACCCTTCTAAGTCCAAGTCTGTTGATGTCAATCGGCTTAGAATTGTATAACTTGCTTAGGAGTGCACTGCAATGTGCCAAAGACTCCAAATCACTGAAAGCAGCATTGCTAGCAAATGCTGTTCTACGATCCTCAACAATATACAGTGGTAATTTGGTACAGACTGCCAGCAGATCTTTTTGAGCAGCTGAGTTCTGAGGCCAAAAAGTGGCCACCATAGAAGATATTATTCCAGGATTTTTTCTATTGGCCTTTTCTGGCAACAGCTTTCTCCCAGGGCTAGAATTATGAGAGCAGAAGCCAGGGAAAATGCCACAAGCAAAAGTGGTTTCTGCTATACTGGGCTCTCCATCTCAGCTGTCACTTGGCAAACGTGCCATGTCGCATCCAGAGCCCAAGATGATTAACACAATGGGCAGAAGGGAGCTGATGGTTCATTGGCGGAGCACGGACCAACTTCTCAAGAACCACCTAAAACCTGTTGGGATTCTTGCAAAGAATGCTGGATAGCCTGATTCATAAAGCAACCAGCATGTTCCTAAGTAAGAGGGCTGATTCTGGATTACTTTACACTGATTGGTCGTGCCTTAAACGTCAGGATGTTCTGATG